CGCCGCTACCACTAGAGTTCTGTGTGCCATAGAGTTCTGCCATCTCTGTCACGCATTCACAAAGAGTGCTCACGTATTTTAAACAAAACCGCATGTGTCTATCTGCTCCCAGTCCTGAGAAAAAAAATCGGAGACCTTAGAACATGAACGCCCCTCGTACTGCGGCCACTTCTGGCCTATTGTACCAGGCCCAGATGATAGGTGAGGGTGATTGTGGAGCAGTTGGTGGAATGAAGATTGGCAGTGGAGACCGAAGTACTCGGAGAAAACCTGCCCCAGGGCCACTTTGTTCACCACAAATCCCACTTGACCAGACCCGGGATCGAACCCGGGCAACCGCGGTGGCAAGTCAGCGACTAACAGCTTGAGCTATGGCGTGACCCTTGTCTTCCTCGGTTAGTCAAAATCAAACTCACATTGGACTGACGTTCAGTCAGTCAGTATGCCTTGGTGTCGAACCCCATCTCGTGCTCATGACCTGATATTTATTACTGTTTGACAATTACGGTCTTGGTTTTGTGGGGCTCCCTCTTTGACGAGAGGACGGGTCTGTATTTTATATATGCTGCTGGCCCTTGCCAGTGCAGTCTTTCTCGGGTCCGAGTCCCTTGGGACTCGTGACCATATTTTACTCTCTAAGATTTTCGTTGCCTCCTACGACTCTCAGGGTCACGGTGGAGGCCAACACTTGCTCAGCAGAATAAACACATACACATAGCAAACATCCATGCCTTGTGTGGAATTCGAACTCAGGATCCCGGCTTCAGAGCGAGCGAATTTTCTACATGCCTCGGGCCGCTCGGCTACCGTGGTCGGCCGAGTCGACTTTGTAAATTTAATTGTATTTCTTTATTTCATATCTCTGAGACTCAATACAAAAGGTGAAACCGAAAGCTACGGACAGGGTTTTGGCACGAGTTCCACATACCACATTAAGAAAACATGCCCTGTCAACATGTGACCAGAAACATTTAATTTTGAGTTACTGTCGAAAGAATACCATCAGCAGTTCAGCACTAATATGTGGGCAGCGATTTTTGGTGATTGTTTGTTACGCCCACACATATTACCACAATCAGCTTCCGGGCAACCACTACCGAGACTTCCTCTTACATGATCTACCAAAGCTACTGGAAGCTGTACCACTAGCAGTGAGAGCACGAGTGTGGCGCATGCGCGATGGTGCTCCGGCACGTTTCAGCAGTGACTTGCGAGTTGTTCTCAACTACGCCTACCACAAGCCATTGATATGTAGAGGAACATTCATTGCATGGCCTCCATGCTCACCTGACTTGAATCCTCTGGATATTTACCTGTGAAGACACCTAAACCCCCTTGTGTATGCAGCTCCTGTTGACAACAAAGAGGCACTTCACCGCACTGTGGCTGCCTGTCAGACTATCCGCAACTGCCCCGGCATCTCTGTACGGATGTGGCGGTCCGTGATGAGACGTGTCGAAGCAAGCGTAGAATCTCATGGAGGATATTCTGAGGACTTATTACAGTTGTAATCTTTCATCCGCAATTCATAAATTAATGTTCCCAGACACGTGCTATATGGACACTTTTCTTGTTTTGTTATATGGAACTCGCCCCTAAAATGTATCCGCACTTTTCAGTTGCCCTCTGTACATCCATCGTGAATTAAATTGTTTAATTAGCCTGTAGTATAGACAGAAATATGAAATTTGCAGGTTTGGATATGCATGATTCTTTGACGAACTGTATTCTGTTTTGTGTCGATCTCTATTAAAACAACTTGCAAGGAAGACCGAATCCTTCTAAAATATTCGTAACTCGTGTTGTACAAAACCTGTCCTGAGAATATGCCTGGAAATTGATCATAAGGGAATTTAAACAAAGGGCCAAATGAATAAGAGAAGCCAATAGCTATAAAAGCAGAGTTTTGTAGTCTTAAGACAAAGTAAATTGTAATTCTCCACCAAATCCAGTCGGATCCAAAGCAAAATCAAAAAGTTGTGGCGTTATAAATTATAGACGGGTGAGCATAAGCGAAGGAAATCATAAGGAGAAAGTTTCGTACGCTGAGTGAACGTGGTAAAGTGTAGTTGTTTCACTTCGAGCGAAAATAAAGTAACCTTCTTTCTTGCACTTTATGGCTAAAATCATATTCCTGTACTGAAATATTTCCAGAATCTTTATGAAACTTAAGTTTCCGGCCTAGTCTGACCATTACGTATCATGTACAATGATAAATAATAGCGTACATTAGTTTCTATGCCTTTTGGTGTCACTGCTGGAAGAAAATCATTAAGGTCTAATTTACTTTTTCAAACCGACAAATAAAATTATTCTTTTAAAGTAACTTTCATCAGATTTATATCAATAACAATTACTATACGCGATGTAATATTATCATTATTAAAATTATTTCAGTATTCGATTGGAATCCTCTCTTCACTGATCATGGGATCTTGGTCTGTAGAAATTTCTTTTAATTTCTTCGCAGAACATTAAAACTGAGTATTCTCGCTTTATATCTTTTCATTTATCTTTCACAATCACCTTTCTATTCTCAGTCGGCGCCGTGTGAAACTGGTACGGAGGCGGCAGACAGCGTTACAAACAAAACACTGCAGAGCCGCCCCTGGTCGGGGCTTGATAGCTGGGCTCTCAAGACGGAAGAGAAGCGCAGTAACACCAGAACGCAGTTGCCGGTGACTGGCAGTTCTGCTTCATGTCCAGGAGATGCAGTTTGAAATTCTGACCCAGAGGACTGCAATGCTGACTAATGTTTTCCACTGTATTTCAGCCTCTACAGAAAATTACCGAGGTCGCACCTGAAGCCAAGCCACTACCTCTGCCTTCAATGTTTCTTTCAAATCCATTATTCACCAATTGCTCTTCCATTGGATGATATTGAAAGCTAAATCTATCCCTGTAACAGGCCGTGGAGGCCCTTAGCGCTGTGAGACGTCGAGGCTCCCACATTTTCTAAATAATTGGCTCATAGATGGCCGTGAGTTTGTCAGCCTTACACACCAGCCGTTCTTTACACCCAGGAATACTCCTGGTACTCATTTATCATCGGAAATCGAACCCGCGACCTTCCGGTTGTAGCATAGTGCCTGAACCAACTACGCTACCGGGTGTTCCTTTGATAGTTATACATATTGAAATACCGAAAACATCGCTAATTGAACTACCAATAAGTGAATCCGTTCCTCTACGGTAGGAGACACCACTCTGTTGCATTGACAACAGTCAGCATGACTTTTGGTTGTTGTGTAACATTACATTTCTGTGGATGAAAAAGTGGAATTCTATTCGAACATACCTTCGTACATGATGGCACAGATCTAGACTTTAGGTACCCTGCTGTACAGGTGTCCTGGAAAAAAAGCAGAAATATAACTCAGGTTTTATTTGTTCAATATTCGACACGTAGTTTTATCTATGAAAGAAGCCAATAAATGCTGTGTTCTTCACCGCTTTACAGAAACATTTGCGTTATTACGATATGATGGAATGAGATGTTACTGGTTCTACAAGAATCATTTTTCGTACACAGACTATAGTCATTCTAAATTTTTCTAACTCTTTAAACCAAAACTGAGTAACCTAAATTTATTCCAAGAATTTGAACAAATGTACAATTATTTTCTTTCAAATTCTCATCTATATAAATGATTTCCATATATGTAGCAGGTATAATAATTTTAATAACTGAACCAACAATTGTTTTTGTAGGAAGCAAATTTAATATTGATATCATTAACAAATTTATTCTGTAGAAAATATGCAATTACTTTATGCAACAAATTCTAATTAAGAGTAAATTATGGATCAAATTAAATATCTCATTGCAAATGTATTATTAACCTGTTCGTGATTTGCCAAGTTGTTTCATATGCTGCTCTGTGCTAGTGCCCCAACAGGGCCTAATCTATGCATCACGCCTGCGTATAGGGTGATTGCAGATGAGACTAATGGAATTGCAGAGGCTTCCAAACAACTGTAGAACTTGTGTATGGATTGCAAATGCTGATTTACTGCCTGTTAATCCAATTATACCTAAACCTTCCCAATCTCACGGCTATATCAAGCTCTCATACACTATGGAATATTTTATAATTCCCTTTCAGTATTTTTGTCTTATGTCAGCGTCCAATAACAACTCTCAAATTTATCGAACTATACCAGTTATAATATCCACAGCACGCCTAATGTTTGATCAATACAGATAGGAACACGGAATATTCACATCAATAATTCAGCCTCGTGCCATGTGACTGGTTATGTGCATGAACACAATAGAACACGGCGTGACAGACGAGTACAGATCTAGTTTTGCAACATTCAAATTTGTCCATAAAGAGAAAACAGTGTGCCTGTGAAATATCGCTAGGCACAATAATTTACAGTGTGATTAGAGTAAACAAACCTGTGTGCAAGGCGGCCATGTTGCTGTGATTGCAGCGCCAGCTGATGTTACTGCCGTAGGTGATGAGGGAGAGTGCACTGCGCATGAGACACACTATCTAACCAGTCGTTGAGTCCACGTTACCCTACCACCACCTGCACATCATAATTAAAAACAACTCTTAACATTTCATATTTACCTCTTCTTTTATCAGTTGTTAATCTGAGAACTGGCAGGGATTGAATAACTCGGGGTTTCAGCCCGGAATTGATACATGAGAGCATAGCACAGCAACTCACCCTCGACCTGGAAATCGATTTTGCCTTTGAACCACCCGCTTCCATATAGGACGCACAACGCAGTTTACCCAGGAGTTGATTACGCCGAGGGAAAGAGATCCGATTACAACTGCAGAAGTGTGATCATTTCAGATGAGTTTGACTGCAGCTATGCATGAAAGCCTGGTACACACGGACACCTCACGTCGTTGCACAGGGTGGGACTCAAGGACACGACACCTCTGTAACAAATAAAAAATTTGCGAATGTGGAGCAAGGTTACTATTTGCTGGGGCGGTGATGCGGCCCAATTTTCTCTAGTAGGTCTTGCTGATCGCTGTCATTTAGTTCTTGCACTGTGTGACTGCAACTTGTGTTACGTTTGTAGGGGTTCGTCGCAGGTTTGGTTGCTGTTTTCCTTCCGTTTTGATCTGTTTAGGTCTGGTTAGATTCTGCGTTTTCTAACTGGCCCAACATCACCTAATTTTCTTCAAATTGGTAGGTGTTTTTTTAATAATTTTGCAATTTTTTAATTATATTTATCTGATTCGAGTTCGATTGTGTTGGCACGTTCTGAGTCTGCGTAGATCCTTTATACGCTTGCATGTTTTATTTTATATTATTATTTTTTTTTTTAATTTCAGATTATTGTTCCGTATTTAACAGTGAAGTCAAATACTTAACAAAAACCTCGCCCATTAATAATCATGTTTTCCCAGTTTTCCTCTGAACCCGAAATCCTTGTGATCAAAACGTAAACATAGCACAATATTCCATCTGTCCCTGCAACCTGCTCTATCCTTCTACAGCCCATTCTGCAAACATTGCCCTTTTCTTTGCACGCATTCATTTGCTCTGCCTCTCTTACGTATTCCGATAAAGTGTTTAATTTATCAGTTCTGTTTATGTAATATTATTTTGTCCCCCCTTCTTATTGAGTAGTTGATGTATTGTCTTGAACCCGTGTACGCCGCGAGCCGTCTGCTGAAGGAATGTAGGATGAAGTCGGCTTGCTTGCTATGTGTAACGGAGAAGCTGATTGGGACTGGCCTTTGAAAGGTACCGGCTTAACCACCCTTTTTTCTATTATTCTTTCCGTAGCTTATAAATTAAACTTAGTAGTAATTGTGACGTTACTCGCCGCCGAACGCGTGGGCTTCTGCTTGCTATTGATTGCTCTCGTTTTCACTTCAATATGGCTCTGTCTGGCAGTGATGCGTCAGTAGACGTTTTGTGCAGTCAATGTGTCATCCACAATTGGCTCAAAATTATTCTCTCTGTGTATTCAGCTTCCATTCCAGGATTAAAGTAGAAATTATGGGATAACTTCTAATTTTTCTTATTATTGTACAGTTCATTAATATTTTTTGTTGTTTTCTTTTTAATGCTAGTGGGGTGGGACTAGATCCCTTGTACTGCGGTCACTTCTGGCCTATTGTACCAGCCCCAGATGATAGGTGAGGGTGATTGTGGTGCAATTTATGGCATGCAGATTGACAGGGGAAACCGAAGTACTCGGAGAAAACCTGCCCCAGCGCCACTTTCTCCATCACAAATCCCACTTGACCAGACACGGGATCGACCCCGAGCCGCTGCGGTGGGAAGCCAGCGACTAACCGCTTGGTCTATGGCGCGGATTTTTGCAGTTATTAATTACTATTTGTAGCATATTTATCAATAAATATTTTACTCGTAAGTGGTACATATATATTGAAAGGAAATTTATCCACATACGGGAATTGTTGCTTCCAGTGATGGTGAAACGTGAATTAAGGTGTTGCTTGATGCTTTCTGCACAGTCTGAATTTAGTATATCTGCTACGATGTTCAGGTGTTTATAGATGAGATGTCATATGATCGAAAGAAGCAATGGTTTTCCCATGATATTATTTGGATAAAGTCGCATTTAAATTTAGAAACTGTTTCAAATAAATGTTCGAAAATGAACTTATAAATGAAGCAAAATTTAAATTATTATTCCTTATATCTAATGTTTCTTTATATTGGGTCATAAAATATATTTAAACTATTTAACGAATGCAGATGACACAGCATTGTTAAATAAAACAAAGACATAACCAAACTTTAGTTTTGTAATTAATATAAAATAATGGAATTTGTAGATAATGAAAATTTGAGGGATGGAACCTTGCAGTGTTCATATTTTTTTGTCGTTGAATATACAGGACTTGACTTTAATATTTAAGGTAATATTATTATAATATGAAGTAATTATCTAGAGAGAAGGTCTCACCTGATTTCCCTTCCCCAAAACATGTTTTAACACAAAAATTAATATTTTCCTGGTTTTCCCCAGAGTGCATTTATATATTAATTATTCTTTGTTTAAATTTGCGATCAAAAGATTCCCTTATTTGTTTTGGCGATTCAGACTTCTTGCCCTTTAAAGTCTATTTCTTACAAATACTCTATATTTGGTTGGGTATTCATCTTCAGAAAACCCGATAAGAACGAAATAAAAATAAAATTATTTCTCATAATATATAATTTCCATTTAACTTATAGCGCAACACGAAGACATTGAAATTTCCGTAAGAAATAATATAAAGCAGTCGAGGAAAGTAGATGCCATTATGCTCTTCAGCATTTTGTGTATTGATAATTCCCTCTTCATATAAAGTAACATACGAGTATATAAAACGGAAATTTTAAGCATGTTCAACTGGGACTCTTTCGTAATCATATTTACTCTAGAGCAATATGCCAGTACATAAGTTTGTAGAATTGGAACATTGAAAGAATCAAACTTTGAATACATTCAGGAGCAGTGTGTTTAGACAAAATAATTTGGATTCGTAACTCCGTTGAATTGGTACTGCTTGATGGATGATACTCTTAAAATATTTATAAAACAAATGTGCTTTTTGTTCCAATTTGTTTGTATATCTGTTAGTCAAATGACGTTTAAGAAGAGGGAGAGCAAATTGGCATTTTAACTACGATGAATAGGGCGAAGATGCGCAGTATCTTTGAACATTTCTGGACGAATAATTTGAATTGGGGAACATAAGTAAATAATATGCTGTGACCGCATTTTACTATATGATCGTTATTAAGTATAATGCAGCATTTCTTTATGTGACATTCATTTATTTTTTCCTTGGCACTACAGCCACAGTGGGCCTAGGCTCCATGAGCTTCTCCCTTCACTTCGGGTTTTCTAAATCTCACACATTCGATAGGACTCCTTGGGCGGGTGATCAGCTCGTCACAAGGCCTCTGCCTGTGCACAAACACAGAAAAATGCACACAAACTAAATATCCATGCCCTGAGTGGGATTCGAATCCACGATCCCGGTTTCCAACAGAGCGAAGAGAGTACATGCCTTAGACCGCTGGGCTACCGTGACCGGCTGACATTCGTTTCAGTCGGAATAATTTTCCCGAAATATTCTTAAGGCTCCCAAACACTGAAGTTCGTAGTACACAAAATGAAATCCTGCTCATTGTAATTATGAACCAATTAAGGGAAAATGTTAAATAGGGACTGAACTCTGAACCAGGCAGGAGCTACAGCTCTCGCGAAGTTTGCTCCAAAATATGTGTTGCAGGCTGCAAGGACCTGTCCTTGCACGGGTTAAGAAAGCGGTGTCCATTTTGATTGAACACAAAACACTAAAACGGTAATCTTAAGTGAACATTTCTTCAGTAAGCAACACAATAATCGCAAGCACTTTTGATTCCTGAAGAAATTCACTTGGAAATGATGTGATTTGCCAGAGCGATCACTTACCCAGGAACATCTGTGTCACTGTATTTACCTCAAGGTTACAGCACGGAAACACATTGACATAACTTCACAGATGGATTCATATTTCGTATTGGTATCGTTCATCTATTTTCTGGTAATGGAAGGCAGCACAAATACTTGAATAATGTCTTACATGTAAATTTACTTAATTTCTTCCCCTAAACACGCACTTATATTCTCTTATAATCTATATATTTATTTTTCGTCGTTTGGAAGACGTCCCTGGGACACACATAGTTGTATGAGAATCTCAGTAATATATATTTAGTCGTAGATATCGCGATATATGAATTCTGTGACTTTCGGAAAAAATCTATATTATTNAAGTGGAGGAACTGTTTTGGAAGAGACTGTGGACCTGTCATCTGACAGTTACTGATCAATCAATCAATCGCGATATATGAATTCAGTAACTTTCGGAAAAAATCTATATTATACTCCCTTACTTTTTGGAATGTCAGACATGTAATTTTGTATGTTACTTAACAAAAGGAAATATACACAACATAATTTTGTGTAAACAAATTTTCGTTGCCATGGTTACGCATTCATTACCGTCACCATCTTGGGTTTTGCATAGAGATATTTTTGTACTTATGTAAAGTACTTTAATTTCACCCATAAATATAAGGGATATAAAAGTAAAATACGCCCGAGTGCACGACCCCACTCTACCCTGAATATTTTTTCGTAGTTTCAGCCTTCTACGTTTCGTAGTTAGTCTATTAAGACAAACCACACATTTTCCCCTATGTATATAATTAACTATGTTGTCTGAAAATATCTTTGTGCATATGTAAAACAAGTTTGGAAGTGGAATTACGTTAGTGCGAATTTTAAAATGTTGCCCTAAAGAGTGGTAACATAATTTGAGAGCCGCTGTTGGTGTAGAAAAATTGTCCAGATAAAATCCAAGTTTCGCTGGATTGAGGTTAGCTCTTTGTAAGGGACCCAGAAGAGTGTGTTTCCCCCGGGGGTATAGCGGCAATAGCTTGAAGCTGACGTCTCATCTCAATTTAGTGTAGAGATCAAGAAGGACGGAGTTATAACTCCACTTCCCTTTATCTTCATAGCATAATGCTTAAGCAATTAAGCATAGGGAAACCCTTGTGAATAATTATTTGAATTGCATTTTCGAATATGAAGAAAATTCAATTTGTGGTGTCCTGGATATTGACACCGTGTTGCAAGTTTGATAAACAGGTACCAACGTTTTGAAGAAATATATTCTCCCCATGTTGAAGATGTATGCAGTATATGTAACCGAAATATTGATATCCGTGTATAAGATTAAACCATGTGACCGGGAAGGACACAGTTTGAATATCGAATTTTCAGACACAGACCCTGCATGATGTGACGTAAAACTCGCGAACAAAAACTTAGTTTCTTCAAAATATAATGCATCTGGAACAGATACTTCCTAAAATAATGTAACTTAATAAAGTAGCTACATAGATTCTGGTCCGGCCGCGCCATAGCTCAAGCGGTTAGCCGCTGGCTTCCTACCGCGGGGGCCCGGGTTCGATCCCGGGTCTGGTCAAATAGGATTTGTGGAGGACAAAGTGACGCTGAGGCAGATTTTCTCCAAGTACTTCGATTTCCCCTGCCAGTTTTCATTCCACCAATTGCTCCACAATCACCCTGGGGCTAGTACAATAGGCCAGAAGTGGCCGCAGTACAAGGGACTTAGTCCCACCCCATTACCAATAAAAATAATAGCACAGTGGATAGAAAGACGTTGGCTAATTCTTAGACTATTAACACCATTTTGAGTGACTCTCTACGGAGTTTTGAATTAGATATTGGATTTATTGACCACTTTAACACACAACTCGTAATAGCATTTAATTATGTAGTCATTGCTAATTTCCACATTTTACAAAGAACGACAGCACATGCTAGTGTTGTCAGTCTGTTACTAGACGCTTCCTAGTAACGGCTTCTAACAATTGCTATTTATCTACTTCCGTACTGAAGTACTCTCCGAAGGACGGCTCATTTCCAACTGAATATTTTTTCTCCAACTAAAACTTCTCTTCACAGACTGACTCGACCTAACCTTGTCCCTTACCTATAACATCTCTCTACTCACCAAGTAGGAAACAACGTTCCTCTGTTGTATTCGTATCCGTTTTTACCGAACCGTACCCTAGCAGCTGCCGTCTATTCTTGCTTATTAGGTATGTGCTGCCTAACAAGGACGTCGTTCCGTTGTCTGTTTCGTGACCGTGGCCTAAAAACGAATGTTGTTTCAGAGCCGTTTTCTAGCAACGGTTGTTTCTCT